GTGATGGTTAAGAACTCGCTTGGGAGGCCAGAGGGCCCCAGTTCGGATCCCACATATGAGGGCCAGTTGACACTGCCCTCCACAGCTAAGATGCTGAACAACAGCTCAACCTGGAGCTGGGCTGCTGTGAGTCGCTGGTGACGGCGTAGGCTGCAGCCCCTGCTGCAGTGGGTTGCCATGGGCTACCGTGTGTAGCCAGCAGCCGCAGTGAGCAGCCAGCAGCCAGCGTGAGCGGCCAGCAGCCGCAGTGAGCGGCCGTCCAGAAGCCGGCGACTGATCTGCCTCGCCTGGGAAGAGTGCAATGATGGTGCCAACTTGGGCCAGTGAAGCAACATCCTCCACAACTAGACTGAAGAACAAAACGACAGCAAATTGTCTGTTCCCCTTCCCCCAATTCCCCAGTGCTGTTCCCATCCCCCAACTCCCCAATAAAAATCTTAAAAAAAAATATTGGGGTTGCCTGAAAGCTTCATTATTTTAAACAGCTCTGAGATGAACATTCTTGCAGCTATATCTTTGCAAAAATCCATAACTGAACCCCACAAAGGTTATCCAAATGTACTTGCCCAGCAAACTTTCCTAACATTGAATATTATTATTGTTGAGGCATTTTTCTTTCTTCCTTTTAATTTGTAAGGGCTTTTTATATATTACAGATAACTATCCTACCACATATTTTATAAAAATCTTTTCCAAGTTGTGGTTTGTCATTTAATTTTATTAATGGTCTCTGGATAAAATTTTTTAGTTAAATCTATCCCCCCTTTTCCTTTACAGTTTCTGAAACTGGTGTCTTTGTTTTCTAATAAGAGTGTTTAATCCAATACATTTACATATTGAGATACTTCATATATTTGGTCTTATTTTGTCCTCATACCTTTTGTTTTTTTACACATTCTTGCTGTTGCTATTTTTCCCCTATCATTTATTATATTGTTTAAGTTTCCTTTGCCTCATTTTAAATTAGAAATCTAGAAATTACATGGCTTTTTTTATAATTAAAACAAACTTTTATTTTATTGGAATTCTCTATTGTCCACATTATTATAGTTTTTAAATTGTATCTGTTCTTTAAATAATTTTTTCTAAAATTTATATTCATTTAAAAAACAGATTAACAGGAAGTATTTAAGTGTGTACACTATTGCTGCTTATTTTATTCTCTGACTTTTCCAATAAATTTACAAATGAATAACATTGGCTTTGTCATCTGTTTTTCTCAGAATGTTCTAGCCTCTGGAGATTTCTCCACTGCTTTCTGGCATTTAGTATTGCACAGGAGAAGTTTGATGCAAACTTGGTGTGTGTGTGTGTGTGTGTGTGTGTGTGTGTGTGTGTGTGTGTGTGTGTAAAATTGTGGGGTTTTTTGTGTCTTGATGTTTGTATGACTTTTGTTTGACATTCAGAAATTTCACTAGCATATGTTTAGATGTGGGTCTTTTTTCTCCCTCATATTGAGTTTGTGGTCTTTTGATCATTTTGCTTAGGATTGCTTCTCCTCTATCTTCTCTATTCATACTGTGAAGAATGAATTAGGATTTTCTCAAGTTTCCTTCTATTTCTTATAGTGAGTTGGTTTCTGGGGTCATCTCTGATTCCTTTTTTAATCTACCACTTCTTCAGATATGCCTTCTCTTCCTTTGGAAGATGCTGGTTGGACTTTAGTAGGCTTTGAGCCCTTTCTATCCTTTACATTGTAAAACTCTGGAATTGAATACTTTTGTACAGTAGTTAACAAGGGAGGCATTTTTCAAGTAGAGTTCAGGAAAGAGAAAATCCAGATTCTTCATTACAGCAAGAATATAAATACTAGTCAGTTTTCATTATAAATTCTCTTTGTGCATATAACTGGTACTCTGGCATTACAGAGATCCGTGGTGTGGCTTATAGGGATGTATAACGTGAAAATGGAAGTTTCTTGATCTCCTTAATTTATTAAAGGTTAGGGTATCTATAGTTACCCAGGGCTTCAGAAATCCTCTGTGAATGAGCAAAAAGTCCAGTCTGTGGGAGGATGAACATGACAAAGATGGGTGGAGGACAGTATTGTCAGAAGGTGTGAGCCTTAAATAAGCCAAAGACACCGACATGAAGAGGGAAGAGTAATGATTTAGAAGCAGCCATGGCAAGTGAGAAAGAAGTTAATCCTACTTAACCTAATTCAGAGGCATGTGGGTCAAGAAAGAGTGAGCAGCAAGCATTTGGGAGGGCTGCAGGGGAAACCACATTTTCTGTGGTGGGTCAGGTTTTAAGACAGATTTAAAGCATGTATGGGACTGGCTCAGGTTCCAGCAACCCAGGGCCAGCATGGCTGCTTCCAAGTGAATCGTCATGAAGAGTTTCTGGGATGGTGGAGACTCTAAGCTTCTTCAGAAGGAGTCAGTGGAACCCAAGTGTGAGTGGGCACCAAGGGGATGCTATCCCAGTTGGGCAGGCTGGAAAAAGGTCAATTAGTGTCCAGAACCTTCAGCAGGTAATTACAAAAACAAAACAAAACAAAAACACACAACAGTAGATCTTGGCAGATTCAGGGGAAAGGGTGCTGTCTTGTCTGAAGTCAGCCATAGCCTAACGCTATCTTAAAAATTTATATTCACTGGGGTTATTAATCCTCAAGGCCATTTTTAGATAAAGAGTTTAACATATATTAGAGGCCAAAATTAAGATGTTAAGCAGAAAGGGCTATGGATTTAATTCAGAGCTGAGTATATAACTTTTTACGAATCATTCTTGACTGTTTCGTACTAAAACACTTCTTAATTTTAAAAAACTGCTCATGATAATGTCTGAGCCCCTTCTATTATTATGGGCAAAAAGACCATATTTGTAAGAATTCTTTGGAAGAAAAAAGAAAAGAAATATGCTACCAAACGTAGCTGCCAAACTAGAAAATCTTGCTAAGAAAATTATAATTGACAACTTAAGGCAGACAATAGGATAAAACTAAGATAACTTAGGATTTACTATTTTTGTGAAAAATAAGTTTAAACTACTTTGAAATGACAACTTCTATCCCTATGTTCTATATATTCTCTATTCTTAAGAATCATATTCAATATCACTCACTAGTGGCCTAAGAAACACAAATGAAAACTATAAGTTTTATAACATATCAAATATCACAATAAAACATTTTCTCCTTATTTGATTGGCCAACATTTAAAAAAATCGATTACAGTTAGTGGTGAGAACACTCTTAAATACTGCTGGCAGGTGGATACACTGGTATAATCTTCTAGAAGAGCAATTTGGCAATATTTATCCAGACATAAATGTACATATCCTTTAATTATACAATTCCATTTAGAATTTGACTTACTGAAATACTCTTACATGTATGCAGATATAAAGATGTTTACTGTAGCATTCTTTGCTTAAAAAAATGGGTAACAATATAAATCTAAATGTATTGGTAGAGAGATGGCTGGGTAAACTGGTACATGCATACAATGGAATGCAAGTTGGCCATTAGAAAGATAGATCTTGAGCGGGCCGAGTGGTGCGTTGGTTAAGAGTTGGCTTGGGATGGTCAACTGTTCAATATAAAAAGGGACATGCTGTAAAAATAAAGTGTGACACTTCTTCAAAAAAAAAAGTTGGCTTGGGAGTGCCAGCTCTGAGCAGGAGGGCCCCGGTTCGGATCCCACATGACAGCCAGTGACCCTGCGCCCTCTACAGCTAAGATGGTGAACAACAGATCGACCTGGAGCTGGGCTGCCCTGAGTCGCTGGCGATGGCGTAGGCTGCAGTAGGCCTGCAGTGGGCTGCCCTGAGCTACAGTGAGTGGCTGACAGCTGGCGTGAGCAGCCAGCAGCTGGCGTGAGCTGCCATCCAATGGCCGGCGACCAATCTGCCTCACCTGAGAAGAGTGCAATGATAATACCAACATGGGCCAGTGAAGCGGTCCTCCACAACTAGACTGAAGAACAAAAGGACAGCAACTTGTCTGTTCCCCTTCCCCAATTCCCCAATGCTGTACCCCTCCTCCAATTCCCCAAGAAAATCTTAAAAAAAAAAAGATAGATAGATCTTTATGAGCTGATATAGAGACACATTCACAAATTTTTCAAAGTGGAAAAAAATCAAGTTGTTAGTCAGAGAGTAGGAGAGTAATCCTATTTTTATTCGTATAAAAAGACCCTTTAAAAAGTACAATCAATAATTGTTATATATTTACATAAGAAATACATTTACTACACATTCATATTCTAGTTTGTTTTACTCTGACATTCATCTCAACAGTAAGCCATATTAATTTATTGAGCAAAAGGCTGTAAGCACACTTCAATTATAAATGAGAAAAATGTTTGTGCTTTGTATCATGTCTTTGGGAACTATAAATTAAAGGGAAAAGATTCTTAGTTTTTTTTAGATGCTTACTTCTATAACCCTTTTGGTCTTTGAAACTGTGACATTTACAATGTCACAGACATTTATAATATGAAGCAAAATAACAATATGCTAAAATTTAATGTGCTACCAGTAACTGAAACGCCTTCAAATTTATTTTTTTTCCAATCTAAAGAAAGAACTAAGATGAGCAGATTCCAAGTACTGGTGGCTTGTCCTTCCTGCCTAAGACTATTGCACCAAGAAGAGCCATCAGTAAGCAGCATCAAGTCAGGCTCCATATGGACCTTGGTACACAATTGCTAAATGTGTATATGTTTTCATCGAACTATGCAGTTATAGGCACATAAATTTTACATGATATCTATTACATATCTCTTTAATTTCAACTTCTACTTAGCAAGCACATTAAGCAAAAGGGGCTAGCATGGTTTTACAATATTTGTTGATGCTGCCTCCTGACGAATCATTCCATAGGATCCCTATCCTGAGATATTAGAGCACGGCTTTACATGATCAGCGGCCAAAGGCATATGGCTATCATTGTATAGAGTACAGAGTAAGCATTCTTTTAGGTAAGCTGACAGGTAGTTACAAATTAGCACATTGCCCTCAAAGCATGATCAATTCGTTATACAAAGGATACTCACATCAGCATAGTGGCCTATCATGTCACATCGGTCACATCGCTTTCTCCAGGAAGGTCTTTCAAAACATCTGTGAGCAGAAGACATAGGCAGAGAACAGTCAAAGCAAAAGCGTGCTGGACAGGCATACTGGAGGTGTCCTCTCTCGGAGCAGAGGCAGCAGGGGCGGACTTTCTATGTGGCAGACAAACAGAAAATCTCGTTAGCAAAATACTTCAGTCTTAAACGTGAGAAGATTAATTTTTCTTTTTCTGTATAATTCCATACAAAGTTATTTCCCATTTGAGATCCCAGTGAAGGTCAACCCTGGAGCATAGTTATAAAATCAAGCAAAATGTCTGAAATCAGAGCTTTAACACAAGCTATCTGTATCTTGTGGTTGCCAAAAAGGCTTATTGGCCTGCCTGTACTATCAGCTGGCATCTCCATCTGATGTCTTGTGTTGTAGGAATATTGACAAAGTGGAATACATCTGAGAGGGAAAGTAGCATGATGAGGACCTGGGAAGGGAGTCATAGGAGAAACAGATACAGAAAGAGACTGCTTTGCCTGGAGAAGCAAAGACAAAGAGGAAACATGAGAGCTATTTGAAAGACAATCATTTGGAAAAGGGAGTAGATAATAGAAGGAATGTTTGTTAAACGCTTACTATGCGTCAGAGAATATCTAAGAGCTTTAGTTCTGTTGTTCCAAAGGTTGATGTATCTGTTTAATTTACATCAGTAAACATTTATAAATGACTAAAATTATAATTTTTTAACAATGAAAATTATCCCATGATGAAACAAGCTGTCTCATAAAGTAGAAGGTTTAGAAGTGAAAAGGGTCTCAGGAATCACCTGATTCAATCTTCTCATTTTATACACAAGAAAACAGAGTCACAGAGAATGAAATGATTTGCCTGAAGTTGTCCAACTACTAAAGGAAAGCTGAAATCGAGTCCAGGTTTTTCTGACTCTAAATTTGTTGTACTTCCTCTACGCCTATCCTAAGTTATGACTTACATGAAAATTTAACAAGAAATTTAACACATACATTACATAAAATTTGAATTCTAAGGTTACAGAATTTCAACCCTAAGATTTTGATTTCAACAAGGTAAAAAGAAACATTAAATATTTCACATACTTGTGGAAAGGGGCAGTTTTTTGATAAATGGCCACATTTGTCACAATTTCTACAGGTAACGTTTTTGTTGGCTGTATAGTATCGATGAGTCCATCTTCCAGATGATCTATTATTATTACCTATCTGGGCCTGAGAGGAAAAAAGAAATCAAAAATTAAAAAAATTATTTCACTCTGTTCAATAGAATTAACAGTTATAGTCTGGTTCAATATAAAACCCAGCAACAGGAACTCTGTGTTCTTAAAAGGAGTCAGAGGAACCTCAAAGGGGGAGCCATAAAGACAACTCTACTTTTTGCCTGCCCCTCCTCCCCATTCTTTTACACGTCTCTATATGGTTCCGTTTCTTTTGTATCTTTCTCTACTTATGGGTCAGGTCTAGTAAGGTCCTGCTATGCATCACTTAGACATTCTGGGGGCATTCAGAATCAAAGATATTGCTGACTTATATATCTGAATGTATACTGTATTTTTCTGAATGAGAAGCTTGCTTAAATTTTTAGTTATGGGATGGTGCTTTTTTTTTTTAACGATTTTTGTCTTTTATAAAGTTATAAAACCACATCTACTGAACACATTCCTTCTTTTGAATAGCCCAGGCCTAAAAACTGGATTATCATTTCTAAGAGAGAATGAGAAAATTTTTTTCCACCGGAGTCCTTTCAAAACCCACTCTGCCTACAATGACCCAAGTCTAGCTGTCCCATACTCTAGCCAAAATCTAAAACCTTGCAAGGGAATACTAGCAAAGCA